AAACAACAACAGCAGCAGCAACAACAACAACAACAACAACAAGAAACCAACAAACCAACAAACCAACAAACAAACCAACAAACCAACAAACCAACAAACCAACAAAAACACAAACAAACAAACAAACAAACAAACAAACAAACAAACAAACAACAACAGCAAACAACGACCAACAACCAACAAACAACAACCAAACAAACAACTAAAGAAACAACCAACCAACCAACCAACCAACCAACCAACCAACCAACCAACCATCCAACCAACCAACCAGCCAGCCAGCCAGCCAGCCAGCCAGCCAGCCAGCCAGCCAGCCGGCCAACCAACCACAACCGCAATCACAACCACAACCACAACCACAACCACAACCACCAACAGCAGGTCCCTTTTTGGGACCTAAAAACCCAAACATGAACGTGGTTGACACCTCGTAGAATTGGATCCAGGAATAAGCCTATTCATGGGCTTTCTGTCACTCCACAAACGCTGTCCCACCTGGCAAACGACCAGCTGACAGGTCGACCTGAAACGCAAAAAAAACATGTCTTCCCACTGGCCTTCGGACTCACTCGAGTCTTGCCATTCAAGGCGGGTCCAGGGAGCACTCTTTGCCTCCTTCGTGATTCACTCCCCATGTTGGAACCTCACCCTTGACCTCTCAACAGGAGTCCACGTCTGGTCGCTTAGCTGAGGAGGACGCCAGAAAACGGTCCAACGGAGCCAGGCGCCCATCCCCAGCCTCACACACTTCACGGCAGCCGAGTGAGGCGTTCGAGTCGCACAAGACGCTTGTTACTCACACAGCACCCACTAGCCAGTAATTGCGGATCATTGCATACATAACTCAAGCAGCTCATTCGCTCACCTCTTGGTCGTCATCCTGACAGGGCATCCTTCAGATTGCTTCGTTATGCAGACATGCACGGAGAATGCTCAAGGTATGTCTGACGTCATTTGAGTCAGAGGACAACTCTTGGAACTTGGAGGGCCTCTGCCTTGAAGGCAGTCCAACTGAGGCCGCTGCATGGGAATGGATGATCTCCAGGCACAGGTGAGACTCTACCAGCTTGTGGTGTAGTTGTGTGACAAACCAAGCTGGCAATTCCGTAAACATCCGAAACCTGGGCTGAGACTTCGCTGTGCCCAAGATTTGGGGGAACCACTCGCCCAGGGAAAAGCAGGAGCCTGGCGAAAGGGAACACTGCGCTAGCGAAACCGAGGCCATGGCAAGGGGCTGAGTGGTCCTCTCAGCTTACTTTGCGGAGTCCCCCCGAAATCGGGCAGGCTAAATGCAGCATCCGATTTGCCAAAGATTCGCCAAGCCGTTGCTGTGCTCTCCAGTTGTCCAAAGTCTTGGGTCGGCAAAGGCCATGAAAGCTGTAGCTTCAAGAGGTCTGGACTGGTCATCTAGGCCGAAAGCAGCCGCCCAAGCAGCGCTCTACTCTCGAGCCAAATCCGAGCTGAGCGTGGACCAATCCGCGGCACAACCATGCATGCTTTCATCTGGTGGCTGCGGCCAAAAGGTCCTCAACCTCTTGGAGTCGTTTGGCACCAAAGCAATAGTTCCAAGTTTCGGACTCGTCGCGGGGTGATCTATGCTTTCTCTTGATAGATCAGCGCATTGGAGACACTACCCGTGGCGCAGTCAGGAGCTCAAGGAGCGCCAAGCTGAAATGGCACGTGTTCGAATGGGATGCTCAGCCTCGAGTCAGTCGTGGCCTATCCTGGTGAGCTTGGCCATCCCTGCCAACCGTTTCACAGGCTCTCTCGCACTTTTCAACTCACGCGGCAAGAGACAGGGCGACCTCGGCAGGAGCCAAACTCGACCCACACTACAAAGCTTTGCTGAGTGGCATGCCAGCATTGGGTCTGTCTGTCTTTGAGGGTACCTCATGTTGGTGGTTTTAAAGGGGCACCAAGAGGAAAACCCCCATTTTGGGAGTCCCCTAAAAAATACCCATCCCTGTAGTGGGAGGCCCTGCAAGCATAACGACTCGCATGTGTTCCTTGCGGATTGCCACAAATGATGCAAAATGCGGCTGCGACAGCGAAAGGAGTGGCGACATGAAACCATTGACCACGTGCACAAACGTAGAAGCGCACCATGCAAGTGCAATTGACTCCCAGATCTAGCCAAAGGCATGCGTAGTAGAAAAGGCTGCAATGAGACGATGTTCATGCTGCCATTCCAAATGGGATGGGCAGTGCAGGTATGGCAGTGCAGGTATAGCCGCCCACACTCGAGATGGCGTCGAATGAATGGGTGACGCCAGAAAACTAAACTGCCCAGAGTGTCATACCCATGCGATGATAAGCCACGTGTGATGCCGCACACATGTATGACAAGGAAGCGTAATGTCATGCACAAGAAATGACGCGCAAGTGACATGACATTCACATAGTGATGGTATGCAAAACGCAAACAAGTGTAGCGAATGCCTAGGAGAAGGTGCTTGCAGGTGCTTGCATCCTCGAGGCAATTGCCTCCAAGTGGCACGGCTTGTCGTCCATGGGTCTCTCTCTCTCTCAACCTGCGCATGCAAAATGAAAGCAATCTGCTGTTCAGAATGGACGGCTGGACAATCCTAATTCACAATCCCCTTTGGGCCCCTTTCGTCATCCAAAACACACGGGATTGCCTTTGAGAAGCCCAAACGATGTTGCGCAGCAAACCCGACGCAGGGAAAAATATGACGGACGGGAAAACATCGGAGAATCATACGAGAGGGGCGGCAGAACGCTGCAAAGGTTGTTCATGCCATTTGCATGAGCTCTGGCTAATGTCTTTGCGAGCAGTTGTCAAAAGAAAATACAATCCAAATGCCAGAACAACCAAGCAGCACTACCCGGATCGAGGGCCGAATGTCAAGCACAAAGTCAACTGTTCCTTTGCATTGGAGTGTGAATATATACCATATCGCTGCATGCAGGCTGAGAACGAATCAGTTGGCCGCTTCTGTACAGGAGCAAACCGAGGCAATAGTCGCTGCGGTCTTGGTTTCCCTTGGAAGAGCAAGCCGGCACGGACGGCTGCAAAGGACATTCCAGGGCCGCGCCAATACCATATCAAAAAGTTCACGGAGGGATCGGTGGGGACAATCCAGCATTGCTTTGAGATTCTGAGAGATTCTGTTGAAAAATGGATCACAACATGCTGCTGACTTGTCCAAAGATCCGGACACGGATGAACCTTTGCGTGACACAACTATGCTATCATCCATTGAAAACCAAATTATGGTTGCATGCGATCAATTTGCTTGCCTAAATGACAGAAAGCTGCGTGTTTGTGTAATTGTGAGTTTCAGTGTGGTGCGCATTTGTGTCGTTTTGTTTGTGTGTGTGCTTGTTTGTTTCCTGCTTGTTTGTTTCCTGCTTGCTTGCTTGCTTGCTTGCTTGCTGCTTGCTTGCTTGCCTGCTTGCCTGCCTGCCTGCGTGCCTGCATGCCTGCTTGTGACGCGCATGACCTTCAACGCTGGAGGTCGGTTTCAGCAGGTGGCAGATTGGTGCGTAAGCCCGGTTTGAGCTCACAAGCTTCCCGAGGTCCCATCACATGTTGCTGAACGCCAGTCAATGCTGTCGTCATATCCATGTTATTCTATAGCACCAAACATGGGTTGCGTAAATCTCCACCCGCCCACTCAACCCTGGGCGGTGCGTAGAATAACACACAAAACGATGGTTTGAAAAACCCCAAACCAACCCGTGAAAATATGGATGTTGAAATGTCACTTCAAGGGTTAATCACATGAAGGCAGAGCAGTCTAGTTCTAGCGTGTGCTGTTTCTTGCAAAGCTGCAGCTCAAAGCGTGCCGAAAAAGCTGGGGCAATGTCTACAAAGGAAAAGGACATGTCAAGTCGCACCAACATCGTTTCAAACCTATATGCCGCCACCAACTAAAGGTCTTGCAATTCCAGCATCCCAGCTGCTACTACTGTTGAATAGAAAACACGCGGCACAAACAATACTCAAACATGCGCCGACACATGTTCAAACTTCAAACTGTCGAATAGGCAGCAGCTAGCATCTCTGCAATAATCATATGAAAGCTGAAACACAGCTGCAGCAAGAAATGATTTGGCACGCTGTAGTGCCCCGGGCCACATGCACTGCATAACTGATCCATGATATTCCTAGCCGCAAAACTGGCCATCTTCATTCGCAGATCTGCAACTCGAGTGTGAAATCCCCTTGGTGGCCCCGATGGCAACTATCCCAATGTTGCCATGGGACAAATGGACGCCATGGACTTTCAGGCATCCTACTGTCAGTTGCGGTGGGGGGGCGGTCAAGGCTCCTTTGGCAAAGACCCCATCAAATGTCTGCTGCCTGCTTGCCTGCTTTCCTGTTTACCTGCCTGCCTGCTCGCGTGCTTTTCTTTTGATTATATGGTTGATTGCTTCTTTGTTTGTCTGTTTGCTTGTTTGTTTATGTTTGTTTGCTTGTTTGTTTGATTGGTTGGTTGGTTCGTTGGTGGGTGGTTGGCTGGCTGGCTGGCTGGCTGGCTGGTTGTTGTTTGGTTTGGCTTCGGATTGTTTGTTGTGTTTGCTTGCTTGCTTGCTTGCTTGCTTGCTTGTTGCTTGCTTGCGTGCTTCCTTGTTTGCTTGCTTGGTGGTTGGTTGGTTTGTTTGTTTCTTTGTTTAATGCGGCAAAACGGTGACTCGTTCGACACCTAAATTGCAGGGCGCCGTCAAAGGCGACGAAGGCCAGGCTTGCGAGTCGCTGTCCATGCCAACCCCCAAAGTTGCAGTCCGTGAGGCCATCCTATCCTTTCGCTTTGGGATCGAGCAGTATCAAGGTCATGAAAGCCCTTGAAAAGAAAAGCGCTTTCACTTGTACTTGCTTTACTTGACAGACTTCTACCAGGATATGCCAAGAGTAAAACAACTCTTGTTGAGTTGCACATTGTTTTCAAGTCTGAAAGCAACGATAGCATCATCCCTCCCAACACAAACTTTCCAGGTCCAAACGGTGAAAACAGTTTGGCCACCGCCTGCAGGACTCAGCACCAATGCTGGAAGCCGTTGTTCACTGCGAAGATCACCTGGCTCGGCAAACGGAGATGTCTCAAGACCAGGGACAACTTGAGGTGACAGGTCCATCCGTAAAGGGGGATGTACGCTGTGAGTATTATTGCATGTCCTTCCAAACAGGAAAAAAACATATAAGTATGATATGAAGACGGATGCGCCTTGCCCCCCCCAACCCGCCCAAGTGGGGGGTGTTCTCATTTTGGCAGACCTAAATGACCTGGCCGTATGCTGGATATCTTACATCTGCTTCCTTCCAAACATACCGGACAGAGCACAGCTACCTTGGCGGGCCGTCGCCACAAAATGGCCCCTCGAGGTGAATCCAAGCGACTGTCCATGAAATGCCCAACTTCCCGCCTTTCCGCCAATGCCCATCTCAATGCACTCACGGTGTGACACCACCTTGGCCAGTTGCAAAACAACGCGAATGGTCTTCTCAGGTCAAAAGGCTGCGTCTTAAATGGGTATATCAAAATAGTGAAGAATGAGTGGTTCATGTTTAAAACCACCGCGGTCCTTTCTGAGACCACTCCCCACGTGTGAGAGTAGCCAATGTCCATGTCATCCGTGCGCGCCGCATTTTGTGCGGTCTTTGTGAACCTTCCTCCGGAGATTGGTATCTCAATGATTGATGGTTCAAAATGGAAGCAGTGATTGACCCTGCTGTGGCAGGGGTATCTGCCCTTTGTCGAAACAATTGTGTATGTTTTTTCATGGTAGGAAAAACCTTTCCGAAAGATGATTGTCAACCGCTCCAACTGCCTCCATTTGATGACAGCTGCAAAAAGGAGTCATATTTGGGTCACTTTCAAGCGACCAGGTCCGCAAGCCTCATCCACGCTAGTCTTGTATACACCACCAGCAAAGAAAAATAGGGAACCCTGGAACAGTATTCCAAAGAACCGGAGCAATTTTACAGGAGCAGTTCAACAAGAACTGCTGGCAAACGAAACTCATTCAGATCTACTTGGCTTTTCTTGGGGCCCACTTCAAGCAACAGCTTGCGTCAGTGGGTGGCCCCAGTAACCGTGCATCCCGTTTACCTGAGGTGACCTGCCGCTGCCGAGCCCAAGTTTCCCGGAAAGGCATGGCGTGCGGGCGCGCAAACGCCCGCGCAAAGAAGCAAGCTGCAGCAATCATTAGAGAAACATGGCGCCCCGGCACTTTACTAAAAGGAGGCTTATAAGCGAAAGGCTTGGTTGGTACCTGTCTCTGGCAACTGAAAGGACACGCACACAAGGCTGGCAGTTCCTCTTACACATAGCTTCACGTTGTGTCAGCCACAAGCAGGCTATGAGGCGCACATGGCCCGAAAAGCGCCGCCTCAACGTTGGACAATTGAACATGAAACAACACGCCCGGCACATTTCCGGCGATGGGGGCTTCTTTGCGTCATGTGTTGAGCAAACCTCGGAAGAAACCTTCGCTCAGCTCCAGAAACAACCGGCCCCCTCCCGCAGGCCTCAATTACATGAAGACCCCGGGGCGTGTGGCGTGAGGGGATTAATGTGGTCTGTGAACCATCCAGCGCGCATCACGGGTCCTGGCAAGCCTTCCGAGAGACCGTCACTACACCCCAGCAACAGCACGGTGGACACGCTTCTGAGGCTTTTGCAAGAAAACAGCGTCTAATCGGTGCCGCACGCGTTGCTTCAACGGCCGCTCCCGGAAAACGCTCGTCTTGCGCTGGCCGCTTGGAGAAACATTACTCAGCGGGTGCAATGCGAACGGCGATGCTTGACTGAGTCCCCGGCGCCAACAGGAGTCTGCATGATCCACAAGCCCGTGTTGTTCCTCCGGTCGGCTGGGCATTTGCATGAGATGCCTGCTTGATGCTTTGGAGTTGAGAGCTCCCACATGCCCTCAAACTCAAACCGCACGTAAGACGTAGATTCCCAGCCATGCTGGCCGGACAGGATCAAGCTCTTGAAGATGGGGAGGTTTTCTTTTTCCGGGGCAGGAACCTGGCGCCACTTTGCTTGCGATCCGTCTGGGCTGGCGGCCGAGTTCGGAACTTCAGCTCGTGAGGCAGCAGCCAAATGTCTCGGCCTCAGAACCAGAGGGGCGTCAGGTGCACCATCCGGAATGTGCTCTTGCCACCTATTGGCATGGAACCCACCAAAAGGTTATCCTGAGAAAAGTGGTCCAGTTGAACCTCCGGTCAGGTTCCATATTAGTCCAAATCGTGTTCGTCCAAATCCCCTCTGAATCTGGTAACAGCTCAGCATTTTTCGCGAAGCGCAACGCTGCTGGTACGTCTACCTGGCCCCTTGGTATGGATTCTCTCTCTCGGGATCTCCGCATGGATGGCCATTCTCACATTCGACTTCCGCGTCATTCTGGCCCAAGGTCGCAAAGCACTGCGTTGCCACATTGTCGATCACCTTGCCCCGCGGTTTGTGGGAAGCTCCCTTGTCTCATTTAACGAAAACACACACACACACACAACAAACCCACACACACACACCAAGCCCAAATGCCTGAAAGGAGACAATCTCCTGATTGCCTCTGCCAGCAAACTCTCGAACCGCCAGAGTGCAAAGAATTCGACCGCATGGAGATCAAGCTTGGGGAGCCCAGGGCTTCGCCGCCTTTTCCCTTTAAGAGCCGTCCGAAGGGGGCTGCAACCCATAGGTCTGTTTAAAACCTCCCAAAATAATTAGTGTGGATGGTTGTGACTTGTGGCATCCTTTGCGGGAGAGTTGCAATTGAGTCCAAATCAACTCCTGGTATAAATGGGGTCTGCCTGGAACCATTTCAGGCACAAAAGACGGATATATGCACCTTGTTATGGTTGGGACTGTCCCCAAAAAACCTTCATCTACCTTTTCAGCTCTGCTTGTGCTTTATTTTCCGTCCGTTGGAGGGGTGCCTTGTTGCTGAGGGCTTCAAAGGGAAAGTAACAGGATGTTGTGAAGGGACACATTTCGAGACACGCGCATTTGCGCCCCGACTATCCTTCTACTCGTTTACTTTTGGTGCTCATTTGAGTCTGCGGAGCTGAGGCCCCCAACTGAGTGGCCCAACTCGTGGAAATGACGCGTGGAGGGAAGAAAAACCAACCAGAATCTTAGAAGCCCCTAGAAAAACGAGAATCCGGCAGATCAAGGAAGGATACAGATGCAGATCTGCCAGATCATAAAAAACAACTGCACACCAAAGAAGACGAAGAAGACGAAGAAGAAGCTGAAAAAGAAGACAAAGAACAAGAAGAAGAAGCAGGAGAAGAATTGTGGAGAAGAGTCGTGGGAAGAGTCGTGGGAAGAGTCGTGGGAAGAGTCGTGGGAAGAGTCGTGGGAAGAGTCGTGGGAAGAGTCGTGGGAAGAGTCGTGGGAAGAGTCGTGGGAAGAGTGTTGTGGAGCAGCGTTGGCAAAAGAGTTGTGGAGAAGTGTTGAAAGAGTGTTGTGGCGGAGCAGTGTTGTGGAGGAGCGAAGTATTGTACAGAAGTGATGTGGCAATGTGTTTGAAAAAGTGTTGCGGAAATGTGCGGAGAAGTGTTAGAAAGAGTCTTGCGCAGAAGTGTTTTGGACAACTGTTGGGAAAGAATAATATTATGATGAAGATGATGATGATGATGATGAGGAGGAGGAGGAGGATGCGGATGAGGGTGAGGATGATGAGGAGGATGAGGATGAGGATGAGGATTATGAGGAGGATGCGGATGAGGATGAGGATAATGAGGAGGATGAGGAGGATGAGGATGAGGATGATGAGGATGATGAGGATGATGAGGATGATGAGGATAATGAGGATGATGAGGATGATGAGGATGATGAGGATGAAGATGACGATGAGGATGACGGTGAGGATGATGAGGATGAGGATGACGAAGACGAAAACGATGACGAAAAAGAAAAGGAAAAACCCTTGGCCAGAGCTTAGGACCCCTTCGAACAGTTGTGCAGAGTTTACAAAACCATCCCTACCACTTTCAAGCAATTAGAGAGGCAATAGTTCTTTTTGACCACACATTTGTCGCAAAGCGGTCCCCCAAAACTAGTTGGTCTTTTGTTTATTTCTTTCAACCATCATCAAAAAAGGGGGGTCCATGCATAGGTGTCCGTTTAGGGGAAATACTGTTTTTTTTTTTTCTGGTAGATGATGAAACCACCAGGAAAACCAGGAATCGAAACCCATCTATTTGTTCGAGCAAAGCCACCAAAAAGGACACCTACGGGATGAGAGGGATCCTTAAAAATGGTTGTTCTTTGGATTTTCTTTCAACCATCAGGCAAAAAAAGGGGGCTCCATGAGATAGATCTCCGCCAAGGGGCCATGTAGGTGCTCTGGCACTGGGTGCCTCTGGGCAGGTTGCGGCAGTCCCCCTCGCTCACCCCACGTGCTCCCTGGCAGGCCGGGACACACCCGCCATCCGCTGAGGCACAGATGGTGCCCGTCAAGCCCCCGATCTTCACCTTCCGCTGGAAAAGGGCGGACGCCGCTGTTGGGGTCAACTCCAAATATACATATATATATATATTATACATACATATATGTCACGCACACACACTTCCAAGAAAGAAGCCTGGGTTCATGTCATGTGCCAGAACTCGTTGGGTGCAGTTGTTGCATCTTGTGTCTAGTATTTCCAGGTTGGGTGTCTGCTATTTCTTATGTTTTACGCTGGCCAAGAGAGCACATGTGTTGGAATCTGACATTTGCCTGAGGTCGCACTCATTCCTACACAGCCTGTGAAGTACCGGAACGTTAGCACGATTCTCAGAAACCATCACGATGTTCGAGCCTTTTTGTGCAATTCCATTGACTGCTCAATAACACCTTGGATATACCTTTCGGTGCCATGAACGCACATAGCCCAAACTCCCACTTTTTGTTTAGGAATCGTCCCCGAGTAGGTGACACGCCGAATGAGTTCTAACAAAAGGTGCAGGATTCGTCATTTTTTGTCCTTCGGTGGAAGCGATCGGAACCGGTTTCTTAGGAGCTGAGTCGCCTTTGACCCAAGCTGCACAAGCTGGGACTCGTTTGTTCGGAGCCAGTTAGAGAGAGTCCCCCGACCCAAACCGCGCAAGCTGGGACTCGTTGGTTAGCTGGTTAGAGAGAGAGAGAGAGAGAGAGAGAGAGAGTCCCCTGACCCAAACATTGCTCAAAGTGTACCAACTCAGCACAGGTCGCCATGCAGTTCTTGAAGCCCCCCAGGCAGGCGTGATGCCCCTGACAGTCAGTGCCCGCACAGGGATCCGCGGACTTGGCGGCGCACTCCTTGGGGTCAGAATGGAACGACCCAATCCCGGGGATGGAAGCCCGGGCAGAAACCACCTGGAGCAAACAAAAATGCCCACAGGATCCCAACCACAAGTAGAGATGTGCCCTCCAAAGGAGGGACCAACGGGAAACCCTGGAGATGGGCCATGCCAAAACCAATCTCCAGGTTTCTGCTTCGAAAACAATCTTTCGGCCAAGCTTCCAGCTTGGGCCCAGAGCAGCTTTCTAGCCTTGGCTCCGGCTGCAGCCTCTCGGACCGCATCAGCACCTCACAAAAGCGGCCCCAGCGACGCCCGCGGCCCGGGCCCGTCGTTGGCTGGGGGAGAGGTACCCTGGCCTCTTAACAACCAACCAAAATATGGAGAGAACTAACCAAGACAACAAACAAGTGAACTGTCAAATGGGCACGGGGAAAAAGTGCCCCCGGACAAAAGGAAGCAGAAGTTGAACCGGCCCGCCCCTGAACGCTTGGGAGGGACGAGTCAAAGGGCCATGATGCAAAGCTCCTGGATAAAACTTCCAGGCAAACTTTGGGCTGGCGCGCAATGTCAACAGGTCAGAACGTGTTGATTCTTCCTTCAGTTTCAAAGGTGTCAATGATTGGAAGGCAAGCCTTGTGAGACATGCCGCAAGATACCTATGTAGGGCCGTAGGGCCACCTTTGGATTTCCGGGTGGAGGTCCTTTCAGCCAGTCACCTCGGGCCGGCCGCTGGCCCCCACTGCTGCGGAGGTGTCCCTCGCATGCTGCGCCGCATGCACCAGGGCTGCCTGGACCAGCCAGGCCCACTTCATGAAAACGACCTGTTCTCAAGCAACACGCGGTCCGCTTCGAGCATGGAAACGGCTGAAGAAGGTCGAATCAAGTTCACGAAAGCACACGTGGAAAAAACACATCCAAAGAAGCAAATCACAGGTCTGCCTGAAACGTGGGCTGATTGTTTAAAGCAGCTGAAACACTAGCTCAAACACACACATTCCAGGCCCCGCAACCTCCTGCTCAGAAAGCTTGGACATCGGATCTACTACAAATGCTGACTCCAGCTCCTTCTTGCGGCCTCGACTAGATTTTGAGTACGCGTCAGAATCGTGCCAATTTGCTGCTGAGACAAACCACAAGGCGTCAGTCATACTAGTGTTTGATTGCTCGCAGGGTTCGCAAAAGGCATGTGAGTGTCAAAAGCTAGGCTCGAACACGCGCGACATGCCCCGCTCCCTGACACACTGCGCATGCCCCTCGTCCTCCTGAATTATCCCCCGTGGCTCTCACAAGTGGTGCACAACCCTTGATTCGCGCAGAATCTGACGATGAAGGAGCAATATCTTGAAAACGTCGGGGCAACAGGCGAAGGTTAAAATGAAGAACAGTCGTTGCAAAGGCGTTGGCAAACAATTGCAACACATTGAACACATCTGGAACACTTTGAAAACTCTATGGCAGTGAATTCGAATTGGTCTTACACTTTGGCGGACGTCATTTACATTCAGAGTTATGTCCAATGGACATGTTGGAGGGTGTTCCAGCCAGTAAAACGGCATGGCCATGTGACATGGTCAACCTCTTTACATTGCACGGAGTCAGGGTCATGGTTTTCTTAATAGGGTCACTTACAACGGTGGTCTGAAATTGCCTTTTCGAGCGTCTCGCTTGACTGCAGCATATGTCAAAGGGCGTGCTAGGCGTTGGGGGCCGCGCTGGGCTTGGACACCACGCGAACGTTGCGGATCACCGGAGCTCCCTGGGCTCAAGCGTCCAAATGGGGAGCCGAGGACAAGGTATTTGGAGGTCCGGGCTATGTGCAAGTCACTTGGTCCATGAGATTTTCTTGAAATCGAAGACGTTTGCTGTTCATCCCGTTGGCCAAAAGGAAGTGTGTGAAACCAATCTCGGACATCCCGGGTTGAGCACCTCAAATGAAGAGGTGGTCAAAGACCGTTTTCGTGTTTGCACCATTGCAGGAGGTTCCCTTGTTTCTGTTTGGCCAAACAAATGCTGCCAGGTATCTTTAGGCAGCAAACCCGGGTCGTGCTGATTGGGATATGTCACATGTCACCAAAACCAAAACATAATATTCCCCGTCTCATGTCTAGGATTCCGCTCAAGGCTTGCTGACAAAGCACGCCAGTTCTTGCCAAGTGGGGCGCAATCCCACTTTGAGTGCTGCCAGCATTTGGTTTGACATACGTTTTGCAGCTATTTGCCATTCAATTTGAGATGTGAGGAGCGGCGTGCATTAGACGTGCGTAGGCAGACAATGCACATGGATAATGTGCAACAGTCCCAGTATTGGTAAATTGTCGGGAGTTGTGGATGCAAGGGCTTATTGGAAAGGGGGTTTGTGTGTGTGTGTGACTCTGGCTAGCCACCTGACATGTGGATGCTGCGAAGCGCGCTAACCACCATTGCTTGCTCGCGCCATTTGAGGGGTACGTCTCCAAGTCTCCAACGGGTTGGTACAACTCGACCATGAGAAAGGCCTAGGGAACGCCTGTATGCCAAACATATCTGCGTACATGCATAATATATAGGTATCGGATTTTTAAGGGGACTCCCCCCCAATCATGGTGGCTTTCCTTCTGATGTTGCTTTACAACCAAAAGGTACTCTCCAACACAAGACCTACCGATATATCTACTTATACACATCAACTCCATAGCAAATGCCTCCTAGGAAAGCATTATCAGCCCTTGCCATCTGCGCTCCAAGTACTTGCGCCATGCACCATAAGCGTGATATGTGGCAAAAGGCCGAGCAAACGCCGCGGATCCTGGGTGCCTTTTTTCTGGGGTTTGCCAACACTTTTGGGGTTCTATTCCACGGAAACAAAAGGGAAACCAGCCCATTTGGAAACAACCCATCTATGTAGACTTGCGCCCGTGTCTCATTCCACCTTGAAAAGCATAAAAGACATAATGGCAAACGGTGCCTTGCATGCCAGCAGAGAGTGGTTGGCTATGTTCAGAGCGACCAACTGGGGCCTCGCATCGTGGGCCCCCGCTCGCGGAAGCATCTGGGTGCAGACTGGAAATGCAGCAGTCTCGGGTTCCAAAGGAAGGGTTCCAAGGAAGCCACGGCCTGACGTAAGGATCAAACGTTTGAGTGTGTGTGTGTGTGTCAAAATTGGGACCCCAATAGTGGCGGCTTGCTTCTGGTTTCCCAGGAAAAACAAAAAAAAATACATTCAAAAGAAGCACACACCCATTCCAAGGGTCTCTCCAAATAGTCGAGATCCTCTTGTCTATTGGCTTCCTTTCCAATATCAACCAAGAGGGGGTTCAAGAACCCTGCTTAAAGCGCCTGGTAGTGCTTCAGGAGGATGGTGATGCGGTTTCCCTCAACGGTGTACCCACGGATCAGCCCCTCCTGGCTTCCCATCACCAGTAAGTGGGGCTCCTCCCAGTATTTGCGTCCGTCCTTGATTGACGGTACCCTCTTTGGTTGGTGTTTAAGAGAAACCAAAAGGAAACCGCCTTGTTTGGGGGGTCCCCTAAAAACTCACACCCATTTGTGACTGTGGCTTTCATCCAGCTGCAGGATTTTGTCTATTCACAGTTGCAAATGCACGTGCTTCCTTGAAGAGGGGTTCTTTCAGCTAGCTTCGGCGATGGAGTCAAGCTGCCCCTCTGTCCACTTGACAATTTGTGTTGCTCCTCAGGCGGGTGGCTAATTGTGGGGAGTTGGGTGAACCACCATGTTCTCCCCAACTGACAATACTTTGCCGTTGATTCCAGCACAGCACCAACATCTCCGAATTGGGTCACCGCCACCCAAAGATACCGAAGCCGATCCGATCCTGATCCTCCTTGAATAGGGATGTGTCAAAACAAGGCTCAGGTCAAAGTAGCCAAGAAAAATACATTTCAGAAAGGCTCTGGTTTTGACATGCAGTTAGATGTTGTCAGTATCCTCCTGAACATGCGTCCGCGCACTTTTTGCGACTCCAAGCACTTGTAAGGATCCGATGCCACTGCCCATGCAGCTAAGCTCAGAAAATGACCAGAAACATGTCCTGGAAGTAATCCAACCATACCATATCTGCGTGTCAAACCGACGATTCCCATCTTGAGCCAACTGGCTTAACTCGCATGGCGCATTCCCAGGGCATCGAATCTACCGACCGTATTTCGGCTCTCTCAGCGTTTGGTGCACTGCGACGTTTGGGTCTCCAGGCCGCTGCACCTCGGAAGCTTCCAAGAGATGACTCCCTGGGCCCTGCGTGAACTACCAAACAACGTCTCATGGAAAAACGGGAAAAAAAAAGAAAAAAAAAAAAAAAAGAAAAAACGGTGAGATGTGGCAAAAACACAGGGACAGCCTAAGACCCGTTGTGAACTTGAAGTGCATGTAGATATGGTTGAGACGGCGGTCAAGGATCGTCACTGGCAATTTGCTGAAAACCCGAAATGGGTTGAGTGTGCCATCTAACTTCACCCAACTCATCTCGCAGGACTTTCTGGGTTGGCGAAGCCACCGTCAAAGAACCTTGGGGCCGTTTGGTCGCTCTACCCCCCTCTCCACCCAGGATCCCCAAAACCGCTGTCCTTTTGGGGGCCGCTCTACCCTCTTCATTTTCCGCCTGCCAATAAAATCGCAGCACCCCAAGGCTCAAGACTCTCGAAGAGCACCGAGGTTGGGCAAGATTGGAACAATCCCCAGGGCCAGTGAGCCAACCTAGAAAGAAAACTTCAGAGGCAAAGCGCCTGGTCCCACCAAAAACCGACTCGGGACCAGTGAATCGGATGTCGCCGATTCGGGGGCCTTTTCAAATTTGATTCGGCTCTCTCAATGCTTCGTTCTTTTCAGTGCTTCGTTCTGGCTCTCTCAATGCTGACACAAGTCCAATCTACAAGGAATCGGAAACCCGCAGAGCATGCGATTAATACAAGAAGGCCCATGCACGCAAGCTTCTTAGAGACTCAGTTCGTTTGGGGGATATAGGATACTTCCAGATTGGAACCCTAATCCTTCTTGAGGCTTTTTTGAAAGGAAACCCACTGGAATTCAAACATCTTTCGGGGTCCAATCCAGTGCAAAACATGCCAGGAAACCGTGAGCCTCTTGAGGGATCAGCATTTTGGGACACAGGGAACAAATGGAAGACAAAATCAAGGCACCCCCTCAGCCTATTTTGGGACATGCTGTGGACAAAATTCTGCAGGTTGGGATGCAGGAAACCCTACGGTTGTTTTCCTAAACCGCCCATCCCCACCGGTGCCTGAAGCTGATCTGGTTCTTAAGTCCATCCGCAAAAAGGAAGAACAACCAAAAAGGAAAGGAACCCGTCCACCCGTGGGCTTGTTTTTTTTCCCCGGGAGGGTCCGGGTCCGGCGGTGCAAAACGGTCCGAGGTCGGGGCTTGGGACCGACGTGCTGGCAGTTCTCGAAGAAGCTCGCCTTGTCGTAGGCCAAGGAGTGGATCTTTGACTGGCAGCCCTCGGCCTGCGCCAGCCGCCGGCGTTTTGTTGTTTTTGTGTCTTCCACCGGGCCAACGATGCCAAGGGGAAAAATATGAGGGGGCCAAAATACCGGAAATGGACAACTATGAGCCCTGGGCAAAATCAAGGGTGTTTCCCCAAAAAGACTCTACGAACAATTTGGCATTTTTGGGGATATTTGGCTCTCCTCAGAATCGACTACCAGTAAATTGTCAAGGTTACACCCTCAGCATGCGGAGGCACAGCCCCAGAATTGCTGGCAGGTTGTCCTGCTTGTTCCACCTTGGAATAGCAGCCATGATGTTTCCTTGGGAACATGACCTTTAGGTCAGTCGATGTGCTCGGCACACAAACCTCGAGAACAAAACAAGTGTCTTGGACTCAAGGCGGCCTTAAATCTTATGCCTGACTTGAACCCTTCACACAAACATGAGCAGAAACCTAAGCCCTGAAAAAGAGCTGGTTCTATCTTTGCTTGTTTCACCAAGCTCGGGATCTTTTGCGTCAGGTGTCCTTTTTTCCAAACGCCATTTTCTTCGAGTTTCCAGTTGGTGCAGGTGTTTCAGGGTGGCTTCAAGTGCGAAAGCTTTCATCCAGGTCGTTCCAGACACTGCGCGCAGAGCCCTTGGAGGGAGATCCAACTGTTTGGCCGGCCCGTGACTGAGCCCGGCTCTTGAACTAAATTTGCCCGAAGTTGGCCGTCCACGTATTTGCCTCATCCCTACCTGATAGATTGATCTTGGAAGTGGTACGAAATCCATTGCAGTTCATATCCCAGGTGCTTTTGGTCGGAAGATGTCGGAAGATCCTTTGGGCAGTTGGGAACAATTGGAAGCCAAATCCCACGACACCTGGGCTGAACTCGCCAATCGAACCCCAACCCTACTTTATTTGGGTGCTGTTTGCACCCTTCCCTTTGGGTCGCAGTATCAGCCGGAAGCTGGCCGGGCAGGAAGGAATAGATCCGCTAAATAGATGATTTCTGACCTTGCATCCATGGCGTCCTGCCTCATTGCAGTAGAGGTTGAACATGTTGCAGAAATTCGTGGAGAAGTCGCAAATGCTCTTTACCTGTGCCAGGCGTGGACACACAGTCAAACCTCGGCGCAGAGTGCGCGCGCTGAGAAACCATCTTGGGCCAACAAAAATATTGGGCCAACAAAAAATAAACCATGGTTCATACTCATTACTGTATGTCAATTGGTCTGGAAGGGAAGCACATAACTGGAAATTTAGTGATGCCTTGCGTCATTCCTCTACAACAACGAATGGCACATATTGACAACAGCGAATGCGCCCCAAACTCCCGTCTCAAAACTATGCAGAGAGGTAGTGTCCACGTGAAACTGGCTTTGACTCAACCAAACTCATGAGCCCAAGTGCAACTCACTTGGCCGAACACAAAGAAAACCCACGAATGAGCATTGCCCCCAACACCCCCTGACCCGTAAATTCCGGAGCTATGCAGGTTTATCAATCGCCCTTGCCAGCCCTATTTCATCCAGATAGAACCACCTATGGCCGACAATGGGTTCAACCCCCCTGGCATTTGATGACAATCCTTAAACCATGGTGGCTGTATGGCCCCCCATTGTTTTAGTGCTTGGAACCGCAGGGATGGCCAATGGAGGTTTTGGGCGCTCATATTGACAGATTCAAGGCTCGCTCGCCTGACTCTCGGAGCACCCGGTCAGCAGGCAGTCGCTCCCGTCGTTTTTTGACTCGTAGAGAAAGCCGAAGAGGTCCGTGAAGGGCCCTAAAAGCAGTAGTGGACGTGAGACAAGTCGAAGTGCATATGGGGGTTAATCAAAAGGTCCATTTACGTGGGATGACCGCTGGGAAAAAAAAGTAAGGCAACATTTGCCCACAAAACGGGAAAAGCTCCCCATGGTCATTCGGGGGGCCAGGAATAATCCGTTCCCCCTATTAATAAATACGGGCCCCCCCAATTAATAAAAACATCCTCCCATATATATATATATATATATTTAATTGGGGTTTTTGGGGTTGGGTTTTTTTGTTTTTCCAACAATGTGAGGGTTCACATAGGATTTGGAGGAAATGGATTGAATTGTAAGGTCCGCGAGTAAGCGGTTTAATAAGGAAATTGTATGTATCAGTCTATTTGTTTGTTAGTTTACTGGTTGTTTGTTTGCAGCCAGGCAGGTTAGCTAATTAATTAGCCACATGTTTTCTTTTGAGGGACGCCACCCCAATAAAGGACCCAATGTAAAAAAATAAAAAGTAAAAATAAAGTAAAAAGTGCTCCCTAATAAGGATTCCAAGACTTTAGTAAGGGTTTAGTATTGGCTCAATTAAAAATCAATTGTGCGGAGTGGAAATCTCGTCCCGGGCCCCGGATTTCGATTCATTAATTGGGGTCATTCATTGATAGGGGGAACGGATTATTGATAAACCCCAGTATAGCTTGTAACTATAAGGCTTGGGACAACTTGGGCTTGTTCCCTTTGTACAGCTGGTAATGTTCCTTGTGGCACCGCCGCTAGTACGAGGTCAGCCTTTTCGTTCCCTTTGCCTAACTTCGTCACTATGCGAGCAGGGAACGCGCAACGGCTTGAGCTCGAGAGCTCCAGCTGCCCAAGGTGCACTTGCAGGACACCTCCATGTTAAGCGTTCTACAAGTTCCCCCGGTGATGTAAAAACAACTAAGCACAAGCTTCACACGAGAAGTTGTTGTGATGGCTCTTCGCAAAATTGGTTCATGCGTGTGGTTGGAGAGTTCTGGAGCGTTGCCCGATCCGGAGCAAACGGTGCCTGAGGCGAAGCGAGCCTCCCACGGTCGTGCCTGGACTCTTAAGCTCTGCCGGGGCCATGGAGCTAACAGACTCTGCCGAGCTAACAGATCCAGGGCATTCCCGGGCAAAAGCTGGTCCCCGTGGGGATGATTGGAGGCTACGCGGCCAAGCGT